ATCTCCAATGCCTACTTCACTTGCATCATGCTCCAACTCAAAAGTCTTGTTGAAATCAGGTAGCAACAAGACATGAGCTTGTGATAGTTTTTGTTTAATCTCATTGAAACTAGCTTCAGCTGCTTCTGTCCATTGGAACTTTCCTTTCTTCAAACACTCGATAATTGGTGCCATGATAGTGCTGAAATTCTTCACAAATCGCCTATAGAAAGTTGCAAGGCCATGAAAACTTCTTACCTCAGAAATGGTCTTCGAAGTTGACCATTCTTGGATTGCTTCAACGTTAGAACCATTAACACGAATACCGTCACATGTTATGGCGAATCCTAGGAAAAGAAGTTGTGTTTGCAGGAAAACACATCTCTTCAAGTTGACGTAGAGATCATTTTCCCTTAGTACTTCTAGCACCTTCTGAATGTGATCAAAGTGTTCATCCTCATCCTTGCTATAGATCAAAATGTCATCGAAATAGACCACAACAAAGTGAGACAAGAGGGGTCGAAGGACTTGATTCATCAAGAACATAAAAGTACTTGGTGCATTTGAGAGTCGAAATGGCATGACTAGCCATTCAAACAACCCTTCCTTTGTCTTGAAGGCGGGTTTCCATTCATCCCTGGGTCTGATACGTATTTGATGATATCCGCTTCTTAAATCTAGCTTTGTGAACACTCTTGCTCCACTAAGCTGATCAACATATCATCCAGACGGGGAATCGGGAATCTATACCTTACGGTGATCTTGTTAATGGCTCTACTATCCATACACATGCACCAAGATCCATCTTTCTTTGGCGCGAGTAGGGCTGGTACAACACATGGGCTAATACTTTCTCGAATGTGCCCCTTTTGCAGCAATTCCTCCACTTTCTCCTTCAATATATCATGCTCCTTTGGGCTCATTCGATAGTGTGGAAGATTAGGAAGACTTGCTCCCAGAATTAAGTCAATTCTATGTTGAATTCCTCTCATCGGTGGCAAGCCTAGTGGCTCTCCAAGTATGTTATGAAATTCTGCCAATAAACCATGTACCTTTGCTGGAATTTCAACAGTCAGGTGCTCTTCTCCTTTTACAACAAGTGCAGCACATAAATCTGCCTCCTTCAAGTCTTCCATAAACTCATGAGAGGTATTGGAAATAGTTAACATATTTCCCCCCTCCTCCTTAGAGGTATTACCTTCAGTTTTATTTGGCAAGATAATGATCTTTCTCTTGTTCAAAATGAAAGAGTAAGAATTTTCCTTGCTCTTGTGTGTAGTATCCACATCAAATTGCCAAGGTCTCCCAAGAAGAACATGGCTAGCGTCCATATCAACTACGTCACATAACACATTTGAGCGATAATGCTTGCGCAAGGAAAGTGGCAGGTTGCATTGTTTGGTGATCCTCATATTCACTCCTTTCTTGACCCACCCAATAGTGTAGGGGTTTGGATGATCATGAGTATCAAGCTTTAAATGGCTCACCAACTTCTGGGAGATAAGATTCTTGCAACTGCAACTATCAATCACTAACTTGCATACCTTGCCATTCACTGTGCATTTGCTCTCAAATATTTTCTTCCGTTGTGTGTCGTCAGGTTGTAGTGTGGAACATAGCAAACGCTGAATCACACATACCACCTCTTCACCTTCTTCTTAACAAACCTCTTGTCCCTCTACATCTTCAGATTTGTATTCTTCCTCATCGCCTTCACCATCATGGATAGTTGTGTTAACAAATTTCCTTAGTGGGCAGCCACTGGATATATGTCCCTCTTCACCACATTTATAGCATTTTGGGCCTTCATTGGATTTACCCTTGCCTCTAGTTTGCTTCTAGATGGGTCATTTTGCCTTTGGTGGAGCAGTCTTTTCTTCCACTCTATTAGGCTGGCTCATAGACGAGCCTTCGGTACGAGGATATGGAGCTTTAATTGCCTTTCTTGTCCTCACAAACCTCTCGGCCTTTAAGGCTAGAGCTTGTGCTTGATCAACATACCAGATTTGTTGCATCATCAATCAATCTTGAATAGCATCATTGAGACCATTGATGTACCTTGCAACTTGTTGATCTTCAGTCTCATCAAGGTTGCACCTCACTTGTAGCCTTAGAAACTCCTTCGTGTAATCTGAAACAATCCTATTTCCTCGGGCACAATTCTGAAATTGGATAAATAGGATCTGGTCATAATCAGCGGGCAAAAATCTCCTTTTCAAGAGACTTTTCATTTGTCGCTAAGTTCTCACACGAGATTCTCCTCTCATCCTGTGCTCTTCTTGAACGTGATGCCACCATGCATCGGCTCCTCCTTTCAGCTTGTATGCGACCAAAGGAACTCTACAATCTTATGGAGCCTCTATGACCTCAAAGAAAGTCTCCACTTCATATAACCAATCTAGGCACCTTTCAATATCAACATTTCCATTAAAAATTGGGATCTCAGCTTTCACCTTGTATGTATCCCTTGCATATGTAGGGTTGGGTACTCTCTGATATGCATGGAGTCAGCTTCTTCAAGGGCTTCATCATATTCTTCACCTTCAAAAGTTTCAACATAAATTGGCCTTCTTGAAGCACGTTGAACAACACGTTGTTGTGGCGGTCTTGCTCCAAGAATACCTCTCCTTCTTCTTTGATGAACATCTTCTTCTTCTTTAGAGGAATCTCCTTCATTGGTAGCAGGGGACACCCTTTCTTATCATCTCAACTAGCTGATCAAATCTCCGATTAAGATCTTCATGCAGCTCTTTGATTTGTTGTTTTGCATCATCCATCCTCTTCTCCAATTGCTCCATTGCTTGCTGCAGCTTGCTCTCGAAGAGGACAACAAAAACTAGTATGGGTCAACGAGGCTCTGGTGCCACCTGAAGCAGCACAAAGGTTGTGGAGGAGCAACTCCATTTTGCTGCTACAATGTGTACAACACAAGTGTTGAAGGAACAACTTCAATGTGTTGCGCTAGATTCCGCTCTAGAGGCGAACGTAGGCCGATATGGCAGCAAGAGTTCAATCCAGAACTCCTAGAGCACAAGACCTACTCCAAGATCTTAGATAAGAACAACAAGTTCTATTATAGGTAGTGGGTACATAGTCTGGTTTACAAAGTAGAGGTGATGACCTCTATTTATAGAGCTTTGGGAAGCCTTCACATACTTCTACTTATAGCTGGAACACTCCAGAAAACATTATTTAGGATTCATCTCTCTATTCACAACTACTCATAACTATAGAACTCTAGAAACAACGGGTAGGGTAAAGAAAACAAAAGAAATACTACACTAGAGTGGAATCATCTAGAAATAGCCAAATAGATTTGGCATGTGTTTTTCTTTCTTCTCATCTAGTGTTCCTCATCATCCAGGCCATGGCTCCGTTAAGTGAAGTTGAAAGATGCATGATGCTTATGACTTTCTAGAGAGCATGGTATGTGCGGAACGAAGTGACACATTCCAAGGCAGCTCCGCACATGGAAGCTTCTGTGAATTATCTACAGAGCTATTTGGATTCACTGATTTGCACTCAGCTGAACTCACACATTGATCCAACAAAAGATAAATTTGTTACTACATATATTCCTAGTGTACCTGGGATTAGATGCCCTGATGTTGACCCAGGTTGGACACCACCGAGGCATGGATGACTAAAACTGAACACTGACAGATCTTACGTGGCGAGTGAGGTGGCCGGTGCATGAATAATCTTTGCGGAGATCTGATGGAGAAATTATTTTCTCGGCATGTAGAGCCCTGTTTACCTGCAGGAACACACTAGAGGCAGAGTTATGTGCATGTATGGAAGGCCTTTCTTTTGCCTTACAGAGAAGTGAACTCCTGGTGGTTATTGAGATGGACTCGCTGACATCGGTTGCTATGATCACTAGTAGCGAGGTGGATCGCTCAGTTTATGCTTCTCTGGTCAATGAGATTAGATATCTTATTAGTCATCAAACTATTTGTATTAACTCATGTTTTTCGTTCTCAAAATAAGGCTAGTGATAGGTTAGCAAACTTTGGTAGAAGAGAAGGCAGGACTATGACTTGGTTGGGTTCAGGCCCTGATGAAGTTCTCGTAGAAGTTCGTAATGATTGTAGACATTGTGATAGAGTAATACAAGTATTTCCCCGAAAAAAAGAGAGAAGGAAGAAAGTGATTGTGCTAAGCAAGCACAGATGCGAATGCGACAGTGCAACCAACCAGCCTGTCCCTTCCTTTTCCCCAGCAACTCAACGCGGAACGTGCTAGGGAAGGCAACCGGTCTTCCACGCCACGCGTCCCCACGCGACGGAAATCCCACTCGCCTCGCCTCGCCTCGCCACCGTAAGCCCGTAACAAACAAATCTTTCCTCTTTTCTTCTTCCTCCTGCTCCCGGTCTGCCCGCCGCTAACCCCTACGAGCAAGCAATCCTGCCTGCCCCACAGGCACACCACCCCCCCACGGCCTCCAGATCGGAGCTGGCGAGTCCCGGACCCTACTACACCTGCTGCTCTGAGTGAGGCGGCCGGGCTGGGGGTTGGTCGCTTCCTGGTTGGCCGCCCACGACCAGTTCTTGATCCCGGACTGCTTCAAGCGGGCCGGGTCTGGTCGTTTCTTGGTTGAACTGATTGGTTGCTGCTGACTTGGTCGATCTCCTCTTCTTCCATTGCTGCTTCGTCGTGTCGGCTGGCCATTGCAGTTGCACACAAGGTGTTTGTTTGGCGGCAGGGCGGCAGCGGGCGCTGCTGAGCTAGGTTGCTCGCTGGCTTCTTCGTTGGTGTTAAGCGGTATGCCAGGTAGGTAGATCTGCTCGGAGGGACGGCCATTCGACAGTTGCTGTATCAAAGCTGGATAGACAGGCAGATCTTGAGAGACGCCGATCACTGTTCTGCCGCTCGGACGGACCCTGTTGATTCGTAGCTCTCAAGCTTTACCATGCTGAGAAATCCTTGCTGAGTGTGGATAAACTTCACATAGGAGGTTTCTGAGGCTGAACCAGGCGCTTTTGACTTGTGAGGGCTGAGGATCAGTAATTAATCAAATCATGTGGAGACCGTTCAGGCAGCTCATGCCCAAAGAGCATTCCGGGCCTTCTGGCGGCCTCGAGGGCCGAACCATCGATGTCGGCAATGTGAAGGTGCACGTCCGGGAAGCCATTGCTGAGGGTGGGTTCTCGTGCGTGTACCTCGCCCGGGACCTGACCAACCCAGCAAAGAAGTACGCGCTCAAGCACGTCATTGCCCAGGACAAGGAGTCGCTGGACCTGGTGCAGAAGGAGATCACGGTGATGAGGGCGCTCAAGGGGCACCCGAACGTGGTCACGCTCGTTGCGCACGCCATAATGGATATGGGCCGTGGGAGGGAGGCGCTTCTGCTGATGGAGTTCTGCGAGAGATCGCTGGTTTCTGCCTTGGACACTAGAGGTACTGCAGGGTTCTATGATGAGGAGCAGGTTGCTCTCATCTTCCGGGATGTTTGCAATGCGGTGTTCGCGATGCACTGCCAGACACCACCTGTTGCTCACAGGTCTGCCTTTCATATCCCAACCTATGGAATTGCTGTGTGAAATGTCTACAGCAAGCAGTTCTCTGTTGTTGGTGCTTTTGCAATGAACGTTTTGCATGTGACTCCATTGCTTCGTCGGATAGAGTTAGTCCCATGACAAGCAGCAGGAAATCATGTGCTAGTTACTCCATCTTATCTTGAGCATATTGTTTCATCTGTATCAGAATACTGTATTGCTCTCTGATGTACTCCCTCCGTAAACTAATATAAGAGCGTTTAGATCACTAAAATAGTATCAGGACACAAGTATGTCACTTACATCGATCATGTGGCAGCTTTAGTTTTGCATAATTCTATGCTGTTTCATATAGCTTTCCACTCAGTCTTGGTTGCGTTACTTCATCTAGTGCATTATAAACTCCAGTTGGCTGTAGATTGCAATTGGATAATTCATTATTACATGTTATTCTTTTAACATTGTCAGTCTAATCCTTCAAGAAATTGCTACGTCGATCTTCATTCTAGAGGCATCACAGCAAATCTATTCTATGTGCAGGGACCTAAAGGCCGAAAATGTGCTTCTTGGTGCTGACGGGGCTTGGAAATTATGTGATTTTGGTAGTGTATCAACAAACCATAAGTGCTTTGATAAACCAGAGGAGAGGGGCATTGAAGAAGATGTCATCAGAAAGCATACAACTCCTGCTTATAGGGCTCCTGAGGTTTGATTGAATCAACCTATTATGACTTATGAGCTCTTTCTCAGTTCCTTCACATATTTACTTAATATAAGCTTGTTTACTGATTGCAGATGTGGGACTTGTACAGGAGGGAAGTTATTAGTGAGAAAGTAGATATATGGGTAAACCATCTTTGCAGCCATTACACTATTTTTTTTGTTTCCTGTATTACCTATCTTGTTCTTTGAACTGGTGTTTACTTTGTTGTATCTGATTAACTCTTAATAACTGCATAAGCTAAGGTGGTACTGATTTTTTTAGGCTCTTGGATGTCTCATGTATAGAATCTGCTACTTAAAATCAGCTTTTGGTTTAGAATCAAAGCTTCAGATCCTCAATGGGAACTATCGTATCCCTGAATTACCGAAGTACTGTTCTTCCATTACAAGTCTGATCGAAGAGATGCTTCAGTCCTCTCCAGATGCCAGACCAGACATTACACAGGCAAGGGCTTTGCTTCATTGGCCATTCACTTCCATGAATTTAGGTTGGTCTTAGTTAGTGCATGTGGCCGAATTAGCCTTCCAGTTCTCTAATATTCATGCATGTACTGTTATAGGTATGGTTTCGTGTTAATGAGTTACTTCCTTTGGAGCTGCAAAAGGATTTACCTGATGGATCCCCATCTGGATCAGCATTTGAATTGCAAACTACTGAGGATGAAGGTTTGGCTTCTTTGATTTTGCCCTTCTTAAGAATTGAAGCCGCTGCTGTGAGCATGGTTTCTTATTTTCATGTTACTTCTTAGGTTTATGTGTAGAAAGATTAGTAAATGTAAGGAATACATACGCGAAAGCTTACCTACTAGATAACGGCAATTGGATGCAATATATTTCATGAGATTCAGTTGTATGGAACATGAACATTTGTTTCAATAATATGATAATTAAAACTGAAAATACATATGATTTAATGTATTGTATAGTTGATTTTTTATTGAATATAAGTGTAAGTAATCTAATCATAATAGAACGAAAATTTCCATGCATGGTTTGTGTTAAGGTGGGCCTTCTCCCATGCATGGTTGCATGCTGAGGTGGCATGTTTGCATGTGAATATAAGTGTAAGTAATCATAATAGAACTATCGATTCAGAAAAAAGTTAGAACATCTTATAATAGTGAACGGAGGGAGTAGGACACAAGGATACCAGGGAAAAGCATTTTTTTAGATAGTGCAAGGATGACATGGAAAAGCCATTTTGTTATAGTAGTTCATCAGATTTTTCTTCTCTAGGTCTCAGTGATTTTGGTTCCATATGAGAACAACTTCATCTGCTATATTTATTTCGTAATGAAAACTATGTATTCCAGGACCTTCTTCATCACGGTCAAGAGACAATGTGAGAAATACACCTCCGAAAGGTCCTTCCATTTTGAGGTCACAAGTTCCTGCTGAGAGTAAGGGTTCTGCAGGTGCATTTTGGTCAACTCAACATGCACAAGAACTAGCTTTTGCGGATGACAAGGGGTCAGTTCTAGATCAAGAGCCCATACATGATGGCATAGCAAAGCAACCTCAGGCAAAGAACCAGAACACAACACGGAATGCATACAGACAGTCTCTTTCTGCTTCTGTTGATAGTTCTCCTGGGGATTTTGAAATAAGGTTTTCTCCAAATGGTTCAGAATATGGCCTAGAGAAAACCCAAAACACTAAACCAGATAACAAAACCAGTGCACAGACTGCCACTTTTAGCTCCTTTGTGGCAGACTTTGATAATGTTAAGGTGAGCTCAGAGGACAATGCCGGTAGTTTAAACGCGGCAAGTAAATTGAAAGGACAACAGCTGGAGGCCGAAGTAACTTTACTCAAGGAGCAATTGAAGATAGCAAACTTAGAGAAGGAAGAAATCTCACTGAAGTTTGATAGATTGTCAGCCATTTGCTCCTCTCAGAGGCGGGAGATACAGGAACTTAAACAAGCGCTAGCCACAACTTCTGCACCAGTGCCAGTTAAGGAGTTGAAAGAAAATTTGAAGGCTGAATTCTCCCCACCCAGCACAAGCCTTGACACTCCGGTATGATTACTACATGTCTAACTAATCTTCTTACTGTACAAAATAATATCTAGATTGACTGGCTAGAGCGGAACATTCGTAACAGATATACATAAGTGAAACCATATAGTTTTAAGTTCTAACATATAATGAATTAATGATCTAGCCCGGTGTTTCCAATTTCATAGCTAATTAGCCATTACTGCACACAATCTGAACCCTTAGCTGATACAGTAATGTATTACTTTTCACAGCCAAGGGAGAAGATTGCAGGAACCCCACCAGAGCTCCGGCAAGGTCTATTTACATCAAGTCCAGGGACAGCAAGCCCAGATCCCAAGCCATGGTCCGCTTTCCCTGAAGAGCCGAAAGCTCAAGCAGCTGTAAAAAGTGCCCACCCGAGGTCGGTCCGAACTTTAAGGGCATCACAAAGCAACAAAGCCGGCTCGCTTAATCAGTCAAAAACAAACTCTGGTGCCGACCCCTTTGCCTTCGGTCAAGATAGCTTTAAGGCTGTACCTTCTGGCACCGTGCCTTCTGAGATGTCAAATTTGGGGAATGCTTCTCAGTCCCTCAACACTCTTAAGGCTGAAGTGGAGAAAGATGCACCCTACCAACCAGCTGGATGGACTGGGTTTTAATGTGCTATCGCCAATAAGGATATTTGGTATCTGATGAGACTATACTCCTATAGAATTACAGAAATATGGTCCATCCATTGTATCATAATCATATAAATTGAGTGGTGTTGAGAGGGAGCAAAATGAGCCCAACCCAGGAGTGCCAGAATTGACGTAGGTATGTTCGCCAATGCTTTTGTATAAGTTTCTCTGGTACTGAAATTTAGTGACATGCAAATGTTTCACTGAAACCTGTAACTTGCCAGATAATAGAAATACTAAAGGAGAATTTTCCTTTTCTTTTGTTAAAGTTTTTTGGTGTTACATCTTTAATATTCATATAATTAAATCTGGACACACGTGACATGGTATATATCTTCAAGGGATGTAGCACTATCAATGTTTGGACACAGCATGTACACATACCAAGGTAATACATTGTCATCTTTCGAGACTTTTGAAATAATTATTTTATAGTAATATGCAATGTTGAGAATACTGTTCTATTTTGGGGTCAGCACATACATCTTGCAAGCATGAGAATCCATCTTGTTCGTCAGGTTTCCTTGCACTGATGATGTAACCTCATCCTGCAAGCACAAAAAATCATACGCAGAAAAAGCGGGCTGAAGAACAGTTTTGTATGCAAATCAGAGAATGTTTTGTGGTTTTAACCAGGAGGCTCATATGATTAGACGAAGTGCTTACTGTCCACAGATCATGAGCATCTACAACAGCTGATTGGTTTAGACCAATGTTGCTCCAACTAGCAGTAATAGATGCTTCAGCAGGCCCTCTGTTCCACAGCACAAGAGCAACTCTCCCTCGACTTAAGCGACCAGCCCAAACCTAAGCCCAAGTAAATCAAGTATAGATGAATTATACTAAGTGTTGAACATAACATGGTACTATGATTTTTGCCTACCACATGATACTATAAATAAAAAAGCTTATGTTATATTCCTTTTACTTACTTCTAGTTCTCCATCTTGTTGCACTTTGCGCCCTTGTACCCCAAGTTTGTCTAATGATGAATCGGTAAAGCTTAGTACCATCTTTAATTTTTCACATGACCATTTTGGAGAAGTGACTCTACCTTGATTAACTGCAATAACATTCTGATTGCTGAGGATGTCCTTGGTTTCAGGGCTCATTGAGCTGACATCGCAGCCAATTATCAGAGGAGCCTAGTTGAATCCAGATCAACACCATAATCTTGTGAAAATTCTTCCCTAGTTTACTTTTTTTATCTCTCATGCAATGAAAGTCACTTCATCATTACCTTGACTAGAGCCCATATGCTGAAATGACAACGGTTCTCTTCTATTGTCATCCCCCCGTTTCCTACTTCCAGCATGTCTGGGTCTGAAGCAGAAACATTCAAAGAGATCACTGTGAATTGTCATCACAAACATTAAAAAAAAAGTTGGGAACAAACCCCAGATCCTACATCCATCTTCCTACGCACTTGCATGCTCAAATTTTATTATGGGCCTACAGAGACTAACCATTCCATCCACCAGGCCCTGCATAAGGTGCCCACTTGTCGTTCTTGTCAGCGTTGTCCGTCATGCTGCCCAATTTGCAGTAGTATTTCAGGATAGGAATTAGAATCTCCATCTACACTTTGCAGAAGTTTGGAAGGGGCAGTAAAAGTTCTCCAGGATGTAAACTTCTTCACCTTTCCCATGTGTTCTTGATGTCTTCTGTTGTCCTCCAGCTGTTTGCAAAGCTGCCTGCCCATGTCGCTGGATCATCCACACCCCTGCACATCATTGTTGTTTTTTCTCAAACAGATGAATGAAATTCGAACCCTCCCTTTTGGAAAGCAAGAATCAGTTACCATTCGCAAAGGGAGAAGAAAACGTCCCTTCCAGAATTCATAAGGGCTTCACTCATCCTGTTATATCTGCATTTTTGTTGTGAATATGTCAAAATATCTAAATTCGGATGAAACGTGACAAGCTTCTAAGTTCCATAATTGTAAAGGGTACCTTGTTAGTGGGCTGATGTTTTGGTTGTTGCAGTTGTCATACTTCAAGTAGTCAATCCCCTTGTAACACAACAATTTAGAAAAATCAGTTTTTCTCCTCCTTTGGAATCCCTACCAGGAAAACCATTTTTGACATGTGTAAGTTATAGATGATCTAATGAACATTTTAATTGGTTTACCCAAGCTGCCAAAGTTCTCGCATCTTGGTCTTCGTATCCTAGCGAACCGGGCTGTATCCTGCTGCAAGTTCGCAGTCTGAAAAGAGAGAGTGGTGCGATTTAAGCAAGGGAGAGATCCATGTGGACTGGGGTACTTGTCACGTCTCGCGTGTTCCCAGTCATATCATAAACATTTTGACCGGCTAATTTTTTGCGAGTTCTCTATAAAGCGCATACCCTGCATCGCCGTAGACTCCGAGTTTGAGCCCTTTCCCGTGCACATAATCTGCTAAGGCCCTCATTCCTGATGGAAATGTTGTTCCATTTGCAGCTAGATTGCCCTGTAAAATAACAGTCGGTCTTTTTAACGACTGAACGAAACCTATGAAAATACGTCATTCTAACATTGCAGCTGAAAAGCTTATGCTGGTTTCACATGGTTGAGGATCAATAATGGATTTTAAATTTTGTTTTGCTCTTTCTATTTACACGCATATCATCTGTTCTATTAACATGTACTACTAGTCACCTGGGAGTCTCTGTCATGAGCTGCCCAACAGTCGTCTGCAGTTTTAAAACAAAGATATCCACTGTGAATATTGCAGGCCTCATTTCTAAACATGAAGAGTTGAAAAGGGCGAAAACCAAAGAGAGTGAGAAATGCGAAGCGATTACCTAAGTTGACATACTCATACCCCAGTTTCGCAAGACCAGTATCCACCATGGCATCAGCTACACAAACACAATGTGATTTATTTATATATTGCAGCAATGCAAGGTTTGATTTTCCTGGCTAAGAGAGAACAAGGGAGCACCATGCTTACCTATTTTTCGGATTATCACCTCGTCTATCTTGCAGCCGAAGTGGTTCCAGCTATTCCACCTGAATACACCGTGCTGTCAGTTCAGCAAGACTTGATTGTTGGAAATATTTCATGGAGAAGCAGATAGAAACCAGTTCTCCCTGTTCGGTTTAGAGGGCTTGAAGAGGACTCGGGTCTTCTTTGGTTCATAGGATAGAAATATCATAGGAATATGAAACTTGTAGGAATTGAGATGTCATGTATTCTAAATCCTATGAATAGGAATAGAAAAATAGATGTCCGTTTGTTCACATCATAGGATTATTTTTTAAGTCTAGGCTAATGTTATTTTCCTGAGATGTGGAGGATGGGAACAATTCCTCCATATGATTCTATTACTACAAACCAAAGGACTATAAAAAGAATTTTTTCCTCTTGAAAATCCTTTCCTATAAAATTCCTACAAAAGAAAGTCCAAACCAAAGGAGGCCTGAAGGGGGTTGAGGGGGAACAAGTCCTAAAGGCAAGAGCAGAGCAGATCATATTTTGTGACTACTGCAGGAAGAGACAATCAAACGAAAATGTTCCTTGGCGAATGTTCGCTTTAAGGGGGTGGCAAACGAACCATCTTCGCTAGTAGTTTTAGTTGTAAAACGGGAATATCTTGTGAAGAAAATGCCACATCTTCCCACTTCATCAACTAAAAATGCCATCGAATTGTTTGCATGTGCCGCCTCCGTCCCATGGCGAACGTTCGCCAGTTAGAGGGTCCTACTCAAATCAGTACTTAACCACACGGACCAGATTCCGAAAAAGAGAGGATCATCATCAAAAAAGGACGCAGCATTTGTATGGAAGTTACAACCAAAACTGACTGAATAGTATACAGAGTTGACAGATCCATTACCCCATCTGGGGAGTCCGGCCAAGGCGATTCTTCTGGGCCGCCGCCGGCGATGTCGACGACAGGAGGAGGAAGAAGAAGGGGAACAAGGGTGCCGCCGTTCTGGCCATGGCAGAGGATCCCTTCACTGTCCCTGTGCGCGCGCGTGAGTGTGACTGTGACTCGGTCTTGCGAGTGATCCGCTTATATGCGTCTCATCTCCACGCATCCTGGGTGAGGTCGTTGTAACAGCAAGACCAGAGCCTGGGATCTCACGGTGGCGGTGCCACCCGGCTGATTACCAATTCCTTCATGCAGCTGTGTACAGAACTAGTATAATTTGAAATGGTCATCTGAGAAACATGTTTCGACTGCTGTGGGTGAGCCGACATGTTTCGACTGCTGTGGGTGAGCCATCCAGAAACAACCCCGTTGGACCTACTGGCACGCCTCTACTTCACTCCAAGAGAAATGCGGAGAGACGGGGGTGCGCCGATAACTTTGGTCACCTGAGAATCATGTGTTGCTTCGGAGCCATAAAAAAGACGAGGAGTTTGACCACCGACTTGGGAGATGTTTAAAATACATTAGGCATCTCCGACACTGACCCTTAAACCAGCAAAATCCATTTCTACTGTGTGGTTCGGACGTATTTTACCATCTAACATATTCCCGTGCCTGTCCGTGGATAGGTCCGGGCGTCTGTTTTCCCGCAACCGGAAGTAAACCAAAGGGGACTTTGTGGGTGTCCGACACACCTGGCCCACCCAAAACCCTCTCCCACGTTGTTTCTTCAACGGATGCACCGCATTCATGCTGGCCCAGAGCCACAGCAACCGGCATTGATGCCACCAGACAGGCGTTGCCGCTTCAATGCAGATGTGTTGTCCCGAGAAACCAACTCTGACCATTGTGTCGCATTGAAGCGGGCTGACCGCCCGTTCGCCTGGCTGGCTGTGCCTATATAATCTGTTCTCCAGCGACGTCCACATCCACAGCTTTGCGCTCATCCGCTTCTCCGAACTCCTCTTCTTCTCCCCATCCAAACCATGCCCAAGTTGTGGTTCTCCTCGGCGGCACCGGCGCTGGATCTTCCTCGGATCTTGATGTTGTCACCATCGCTCTCCGGGGCCCTCGGGCTCTCGGCCGCTAGCTCCAAGTGGCGCCCCCCTTTCCTTTTTTCA